AGTAGCGTGGGTCATGGCTTCACCATCCTAGGGAAAAAATGGGCAATTTGGCTTGCAGATACTACTGAATGGTGTGCATCAGGGGGGATTTAGAAGTGGGTATATGCAATGCTGACTGAAAAATAAGTGGGTATACGCACGCACGCACACATACACACACACACACACGCGCACACACACACACACACACACAAATCTTCATGTTGATCTGTAAATGACTTTTTATGAATAATTATTAATGTTCAACATGTTAGTTAATATAAGATAACAATAAGGTGATGAAGTGTCAGTGCTGTGTTCGCAACTTGTTTCCGCTGCCCTCAAGTGGTCAGAAACCTGTTATTGCAAGTTTAATCACAGCTTTAGTATAGTAAATAACTGCTCATATAGTGCTTTTCTAGTATTAATGACTAAGCATTTTCCAATACTTGGCTCATTCACCCATTCACAAGCAAATTCATACATGGACTGATAGAACAGCCATCAGGGTCAAGGGGGTTCAGTATCTTGCCCATGGAATCTTTGGAGGAGCTGGGGACTAAACCAGCAACCTTTAGGTTAGTGGACGATCCGTTCTGCCCCCTGAGCCACAGCCCCCCCCCATCACATCATAAAACAGATTGATTTTCCAAACAGTTTTTAAGTCAGCCATTCTTGAGGGAACTTGTTGGCTCAAAACATTCAGCAAGAAATTTGGCTTGTTGGTTAAGGCACATACTCAGACCTTACAACACAGTGTAGTGGATATACCTGGCCTGGCATCAGTCACAAGCTGTTAAAAAAGTTCACTGTAAGGAAATGCAGAGTTATGGATCCAAAATTGACACTTTGTTACTCTTCCCACCATCAAAAACTATCAAATTGATTGAGACAAAGGACCCTTCTCTCACAAACAGACAATGTTTTTATCATGTCAGAGGGATGCACAACCAGACCATGGGTCAAAGGGTCAGCTCCAGAGGATCAACGAATGCACACCAGGCAAACTGGAGAGCATAGGCAAAATCTCCAGTTCGTAACAATAAGACTCTGTCTAATGATATTTGATTGTTTCTTATACAGGAAAAGTCCAAAGGGACAGATTGTCACCAAGGTGTGATCCTGGCCTCTATGTGCCATGCATGAATATGCACACACACACACACACACACACACACACACACACACACACACACACACACGTGTGTGTGTCCCTCTTTAGATAAGAGTCATAAACTACAATCCACATTCCAATCCTGAGTAATGACCAACACTCTTCACAGACACAGATCTGATGAAGAATATAAAATTAAATATCTAACTGTTATGTTAACTCATATGATGCTGCTATTTAATAAGTCAATCTCAAGATGTCTATCCTATAGAATGATTGAGATGTAACATGAAGACATTAATACAATGTCTGTCATATGACCATACTGTCAGCATCCTTCACACAAAGTAACACACACCAGACATCCAGAATGTCCATATTATTACTATTACTGTCAAAGAACATGTGTAATCCACATATATAAACTATTAGCTTTAGGAAATGTTTATATTGTTGTTTGATCAGTTAACCCCTATTAGGGTTAATTTCTGATTTTGAAGGATGTAATATGAAATCCACATTTGAATTATTCCTGTCTGTCATTATTAGTGCCATTAGGTTTATATGTTGTTTCTTCTATTGTGTCATGGTGGAAGATGGATGTGTAATTTTAGAGGTAAACTCTAGAATTTAATTTTTTTTTAATGTATTGAAAATTAAAAGTTAAGTGGAAAGTTGCTCTCTTCTCCAAGTTGAAACACAGGAGAAGACGTTTGCGCCCCTGAAACGTGCATCAGCCCCCAGGGGATAAAACAGATGTGATCAATTCACACATTACTCTTAGCTCTAAGTTATTAGCTATAAGCTCCAAGCTTTTAGTTCCAAGCTCTTAGCTCCTAGCTTTTAGTTGTTTTGCACTCTCTCCTTTATCGTTTGTGTGTATCCTTTGTTCTTTCTTTGCCACGTGCTCCAAGTAACATTTTCTTTGTCTACACGCGCAGTCTCTTATTTTTATAAGTCAAGTCAGAGTTATTTTTTGTAACTTTTAATTATTATCACATTTCATTTTTGAAGATCATCTGCTCAACGCCAGTCTCTTCTAAGTGTCTCCAGGGTTACCACAGCAACCACAGCCACCTTGGTTCCAGCCAAGGGTCTCCAGCTACAGCGCAACTCACAGTTGGCTGGTCTTAACATTCTGCTCATGACTGAGTTGATGTCGAAATATAGCAATATATAATCATCAAATCTCATTCATAGTTGTCGTGATCATTAGCTGTATAGCCGTAGTGTATTGCCATAACATATTCTCTCCCACCATTGCCAACTCATCACACAGCTCATTCAATTATTATTTTCATCTTTATGATTATTACACCTTGCATTTAATCTGTAGATAGTAGTTTAGTTAATAAACTTCTTTATTTACAACCAGTCGTCCTGTTGTGTTCTTTTGAAGTAGAGACTGGAGATCCATCTGATTTGACATTGATAACAATAATCAATGAAATAATTAATTTTTGTCTTCCCTTAGGACTAGTGCCCCTTTCAACAAGAGAAAAATTCTAAATCGTGGTGTCCACGCTACAATAGCAATACTGTCAATCACAACTGTTTTCAGCAGTAGGAAATGTCTGTCCGTCTGTTGCGTGACTCCTTTGGCACTAAAGGATCTGACAACTGACCTTTTGTTCCACACAGATTCAAGTGTATACAGTGAGATCATTTAAATATTTCACATTTTACTTAAATAAACCATATTTCCTCCAAAAAATCCAAACAGTTTTTCTTGTGGTTCATGGATTATCACAGGGGCTCACTTTTACTTTCATTCTCTTTCCCATGTCAAAGATGAACCTCAGATTTTCCACCAACATGATTTTTAGAGCTTCATCGTTGTAGTTTATATTGCTCTCCCATTATGCATATTCCCAATAAGGCCATGTTCAATCAAATCACCACAAACAAACACACAGTATGTGCACACAGGTGGAGGGTGGCGGAGGGGGGGCAAATCAACAGGTTAAACTTAGAGAGAGGAAGTGAGGAAGGGGCTTGTGAGACTAAAAGTGGAAAGTGAGAATATTTGTCCAGAATCAGTCTGAAACACATCCTGTTATCAGATGACACAAAGACAGTCAGGTGGACAGACAGAGCTGAGAGTGAGACATAGACAGAAAGACAGAGAAGAGATTTGTCACAAGTCTGGCGGAAACCATACCAGCTGAACATTGTCATAATCAAATACAAATCAAATACAGTCAAATACACTATTTCATCCTGTTTGTTTGATAAAACAGGTGTTAGGACAATATTGAATTTTTTCTTTTTATAAATGAAGCTAAAGATATCTGAGATGTAAAGATTTTCTTCTATCAGTGGAGCTGATAGCCACAGACAGAGCAGGAAAAAGCATAAAAGCGGTAGATGAATGCTCTTGGTTTCAGTCAACACATGGGATTTAATGATGTCAATACCCTTTTAACACCAAAATTAGCGCGTATAACATGGGCATTTTTAAATGTTGTGCACTCTGAAAGACGTCACAGCTCGGAAAAGGGGTGAAAATTAGCGTGTTAATTCAGGTGTCATGTTTACAATAAATACCCGTGACTACTGCAGAGTCATTGTCATTTTGTCAAGTTTTATTATTGCTACATAGCTAACATTAGCATTAACACCTGTTTACTAACCAGTCTAGAAGAAATGTTGCAAGTTTAGAATCAAACTTCATTCATTTACTCATTAGAATAGCTAGAATGCTAACTGGCCAGCTATGGCCTGGTTGATCCATCTTGTCACATTCCGATACCAACTCACTGTAGCGTCCAGTTTGCCCTGAAGAAGTAGCTGCTCAGAGGACATATTATATAAGCTCTTGTCTTGTAAACAACAACAATGGCTAAAGATCTTGGCAAGACTGGTAAGTGTTTACTTACCAGTCTTGCCAAGAGCTTTAATGCTGTTAGCTGTTAATGCTAACGCTAGCTATTTAGCAATAGCAAAACTAACAAATAGCTCCTTTAAGAAAAATGTAGAATAACATCAGATTGTGTGAGTGATTCTTTCCTTGTCAAGGTGAGAATCAGTCACATCATCACTAACAGAAGAGAGAGTCTACAATTTCAGACAAAAATTCTAAATCGTAGTGTTCACGCTACAACAGCAATACTGTCAATCACAACTGTTTTCAGGGCAAGTCACAAACACATTGATACTGAACATATTTAAGTAAAATGTTCACTGACAACATATTTGCTTTCCACTAAAACATCTGATTTTACCATACAGTAGTGACTCTAGCTGTATTAAAGTGTGTTATGGTTCTGTTCAGACTCGCAGCTCTTGGTTCAGGTCAGAGAAAGAGCCTGGTCTGGTTTAATACAGAACAAGTTCACAACCTGTTTATTTACATTTACAACCACCATATTTCCCTAACCTTATCCAAAGAGCTGTTGTTGTCTAGACCACAGATGAGACTCCGAATATGAACCTGGTCTCAGGTGTGACTACACTCACCAACCACTTCCTGATGATTCCACTGATGTTCATGTGCAGCTTCATTAATTTATTTACATTTAAAAATTCTCAAAATCCAGATTTTGTTTCCTACAAAATGTTTTTGTTGTTGCATGAACATGACTGTGTTGAAGTAAGATGTCTCAACAACTGGACGGATTAACGTGGGCAGACACATGATGGCAGTGTTTAGTGCCATTTAGCAAATGCTAACACACCATGCTAAGATGGTGAAGATAACATGCTGATGTTAGCATCAAGCTCAAAGCACCACTGTGTCTAAGTAGCCACACAGACCTGCTAATGTGACTATAGAGAGAGAGTGAGAGAAGGGGAGGAACAGTGAGACAGACAGGAAGTGAAGCTCCTCCACAGACTTTAAACAGCTCAAACGTTCAGCTCTGAACCACACTGCATCATACTGCAGAGAATTATATCACAGCTGAAGGGAACATCTGTATGGGAACCTGACTGAACATCAGACTCTTCATATGGTGAGTAAACACTTGTTTTGATAAATAAATCTATTGATAGATTTAATACTTATGCTTTCATTTAACGATGGACTTTAAATGTGTCATTGAAGGCCATGAGGCTAATTTTCAACAGTTGTGATGAATTAAAGGAATAAAGCTGACTACAAGTAAGATCAGACCAGGAGCAGGTGGGTGAGACAAGGAGCAGTTAAACACAAATAAAACATAAAGAGTGAGACAAACAACATCCATGAAGGCAACAGATAATATAATACTGTATAATAATAGGAGACACTGAGCAGGCACAATTTAATGCAGTTGAATCATTTCTTTTAAACCACCTGCTGCTGTTATTTCATTTTTCATTTTTTCATTTTATTTCAATTTTAAATTGTATAAAATCCAAAGAAAAATCACAAAGAAGCTGCAAAAAAACAACCAAAAAAAAACCGCACACTGTCTCCGGTTATTTACCTTGAGTTCACAGTTTTCTGGTTTTTTTTGCTTTGAAATAAACCTTTGAAAAATGGAAGGGAGAGTGAGAATGAGCCATAACAGGAACAAACAAAGAAACGAACAGGACATTAATATAGAAATATATGTGAGGATATTATGTCAGGACTTACAAACACAGGGGTCATCATGACCCATTTTTTCACTGAGTTTGTGTGTATATGGGATGTATGACTGTGTGTTAGAATGTATGAATGTGACCTGTAAAGTGCTTTGAGTGGTCAATAAAACTAGAAAAGTGCAATGCATTTACCATTCCATTCAATTAATCATAAAGTTTATGAAATGTCAAAACCTAATGAGAAATTAATATAATATCTCAGAGCTCAAGGTGACGTTTTCTTATTTTATCCAAACAAAAACATTTTTTTTAATGAACTGTTAGAGTGCAAATAAAATGACAAAATCACATAGAATGTAAAACATTAAATATAAATATCCTATTTTGGTATGAGTATTTTAATGAGGGGGTTGGGATTTTCATGTGGGTGTTTGGACCCCAGTTTTTCTAAAATGTAGGCTATAACCCTGAATGTCATATTCACACTGAGAGAAGCGGCTGTGCTCACATAGGGCAGTACACAGGAAGAGCTCTGTGATGGTAAAACAATTAAACCACAGCACTTCATCAGAATGTTGAGGTTTATTTCTTCTGTGAGAATGTGTTTACTGTGTGATCTCCATTTCTTACGAGCTTTATTCTGAAAACATAACTGCTTTTTCTTTAAAAAGAAAAAAAATTATACATAATATAGTGAGAACATCCTGTAAAATTACTATTTTCAAAACTTTATTCTCACAAATATTTTTTTTCTCATTATATTATGACTTTATTCTTGAAGTCTTGGGTTTTCCCCCAGCATTGGCCCTCATCCCTCCTTGTTCAAAATAAATACATCAGGAGGGCAGCAGCCAAAATAATGTCATAAGGAAGACTCATGACAAGTCATCCTCAGAATAATTTTACTCTTTAAATACAAAACAAGGCAAGACAAGGCAAAAACACACAAAAAAACATGATAAGATAAGAATAATTATCATCCAATCACCCAAAAATGACAAGGCATAGCAGGTTAGTGCACAGAACAGAGAAGTCACTCCTCAGCTTTTCAGTTGTTTGTGAATGTCCAAGTGCAAAGGTTTTCACCACAAGATTTGAATGAACATAATCCACCCATGCTTTGGTCATATTGTCCTGGAAAAAAGTTTAGTTTGAAACTGCTTGATTCACTTTGATCAAACAATTTGAAGAAGGTTAGGTTATTTATTTGCTTGTGCGCAACAATTGGAAGATGTGGCAACAGGTTGATACCAGAAACTGACTCCTCATTGCTTCCTCTGGGTTCTAATAAATTTTCTGTCTGTGGTTTTTTTGGCCCACCGAAATTATGTCAGTGTAAAAAGTTCTGGCTCACCGGGAAATGATAAAACCAACACAGTTTACCAGCTGGTTTACAGGACTAACACCATCAGACGGGAATCAGCTTGGTATTCTATCAACTGAACTGACTACATTGGACTAGGTCAGCGGTCTGCAACCTTAATTATTGAAAGATCCATATTTGGCCCCTCTCCCCCAAATGAAAATCATCCGAAGCAGCAAAACCTATTTGACCCTTAAAATGAAGATAACACAGTGTTAATTGTTTATATATAGTTATACTATATATTACAAAAAAACTGTTGACATTTTATTTCTGTTTTTACCTGTTATAACAAAGCAATACACCAAACTCTCTGAATAGGAAAAAAAAACACTGGCATGTGTATCCCTACTTTTAAATAAAACAGAACTATGCAGGCCTATTTGAGTCCTTCTCTTATTTGTGAAGGATTAAAAAAATAAAAAGTAACCCACTTTGAAATGAATAAAACATATAGTTGAAGCCTAATAGCTTTAAGAAGAGTAATAGCTTTAAGAAGAGTAAACATAAGAACAAGCCAGTTTGTATTTAACTATGACTCAAGTCCATTTCAGTGTGCAATCATCACACCGACTTTTCTTTTTTTCGATTTATCCATGGTTAGCTTACTAGGGGTCCGAATCTCAAGATTAGCCACCTTTTGGCGGCAGGAAGAGGCAGTTGGCTGTAAATGTTGCTATGGAGACATTGTAAGATGTGACGTATATTTTAGTCGACGAAATATTATCAGTATCACCTAAATCTCCAAAATATGAGGTGAAAAAAGAAAAAGACAATAAAAAATAGCCGTTATTTATTTTCATATTATTTTATTTTCATCAAAGCTACAGGGAACCACTGCAGAAGGGCTGAAGAGTCGCATGCGACTCCAGAGCCATGGATTGCCGACCCCTGCACTAGGTGGTCACTACTACTGATGCTTCGACATGTTAGCATTTTGATATTGTTGATGGTTGTGAAGGAGCTAATTTTAACGACTTTGTATAATTAGAGATGTTGTGATCTATTACTGTATCATATTTACAACCTGATTAAAGGTTTTGTTTGTAAAATTGTGTAAAACATTTAAGTAAGTAAAAGTAAGGGGGGGGCAAGGCTCCGCCCCGAGGCATCTATTAATATTACTTCGGGCTTATTAGTGCCACGGGTGCTCAGCTCCGAGGCACTCCTCTACAGCTAGAATAGCTGAGCAGAGCCCCGAGGCATCTATTAATATTCCTTCGGGCTTATTATTATTCTTCCGCCAAATTTTGGCGCGTAACTCGTCCCACAGCTTTGAGAAAACCCTGGTAATATATACATCAAAACGTGCGTCTTGATCCCGAAAGAGGTGCTATGACTTTTGGTGTTAAAATTCCAATTTTTCCCAAAGTTATTCCCAAAATACTGGGAATAAATAATGCATTAGGAATGCATTGGAATTTTCTTTAAAAACCCACAAAATTTCATCTTTTTTCTACAAAATTTCACCTTTTTTCTGAGTCACCCAGCTCTCTCATACCTGCACGTAGAAATGTGATTCAAACTATAAAACGGAGGAAAACTTCTGCTCTCTCCAAAACACAGCAACTGTTTTTACATAACATGTACACTTTTCAAACTATGAGCACTCAAAGGAGGAGTGGAAATCACCTTTTCTTCAAAGTTAGAGTGACAGCGTCAGTTGGCTAGAGTGCGTGAAGCAGTAAAAAATAACCTTTATTTTTATTTTTAACTCGAGCTCACGGCCAAACTGTAAAAAGGAGACAAATAATTCTTTCTGAAAATGTACACATAGTTGTTGGGATTCATAAAATGTAACTTTGACAGGCAGGGTCTGCACAAAATTTAAACGGGGGTGCCGAGTCCGGCAGCAATACCTGTCTCACTCTCATTGACACCTAATGTAATCGTCTTTTTTTTTCAAAAGAATCTCACTCTGTCTTCGCACTGAGCTTACTCACTCATTTTAAGGAATATCTGAATAAAATAGAGACTGTAAGAAACTTCTGGCTTCAGTGTCTGTCACGGTGTTTTCGGTTTTTGAAAAGAAGTAACGGTTTTCTCATAATTTGCAATTGTTTTAAGCCATGTAGAAGCCAAATTCTGGGCAGATTTTCACATTGCCATGGCAACGGCAGCTCCTGACCTGTGTGCGTGTGTGCGTGCCTAGCAACCAGATAACCAACTCTCCAAGCTCCGCTAGCTTTACATTAGCCGCATGTTAGGTCTTAAATTACATTTAGTTAGGTCTTAAATATGTAAGTCCATTTACTGCTTCCTTTGTTGCTTTTCTTTTTGTTTTGTTAAATGAGTGAATGAAGTTGTGACGGTCTCCGCTGAGACAGAGGAGAGGAGAAGCTACTAGCCCTCTCTCGCTGTCACTTCTAGTCGCGTTGCTCTCCTCCCCAGTAATGTTAAATTTAGCACCGAAAAAAACATAATAGTGGTAATTTAAATAGCGGTTCATGGGATTTATTAACACTCAGGGGTCCCTCTGTCCTTTTTTGGACATTTTCTTCACTTTTCTTTTTTGATTTGCTGATCATTTTGGCTGTGTTACAGCTGAAGGTATGGATTTCTGCAAGAAAGTGTCTTTTTTGACATATTTTTAAAATCTAATGTCAGTTACTGTTACAGGTCTATTATACACTGGTAACACATTTTGTACCCTCTGGGGTTCCTTGCGTCCAAAAAAGGACACACAAAGAAAATGCTATAAAATCATCATATATCAATATTTTTTCTGCTTTTTTTTGCATACATCTCTTAAACCACTTCAGTTCTGCTCAAACCTACCAAATGTTTATTAGTTTTCAGGATTTTAATCCTTTAAATGCCAGTTTGAAGACATGTTGCCTCTTGTTTTATTAAAAAAAACAACACAGAATATGAGATATTTCCCACATAATACATGATGGAGGGATGTGACATTGTTTTATATCAGAGTCTTTTATATCAAGACATTTCTCAAAACCAGAATATGATCAGGGTGACTTTGGAAATAAATCATGTACTCATCTCGGCAGTAGCCCCCGTGGCACTCAAAATTTCCCTGGAATTTTCTAGTTATATTTTCATTATCTCTCCAGCCACTGGTCAAAGCCACTCACTCTATGCTTTTCAGAACATTGGGGAAGATTTATAAAAAAACTGATGTTAAATTCATGTAAACTTCAGCTTTAATACACTCATTAATACACTCCTAAAACCTTGGTATTCTGGCCTTGACTCCTCTCCTTCGCGCTCTGATCCTCTCCTCCACCGTCACCTTCTGCTTGTGGCTGACAACTAGGCCTACTGTCAGTCCTGACACATTAACTGTATCTCGTCAGTAACATGAATTACCTTTTTTTTCCCATGTTAGAAGAACTAATGATGTCTGCACTCTGCACTGTTTCCCCTGTCCTCACGATTATCCTCCTCATGAACTCACTTTTTAAAATAATCTGTGATTTGAGACATTTCTGCAAAAAAAAAAAAAAACATACACCCTGAGATGTACCATTAATTTAGGGAAACTTTTCAAGAAGCTGGGTGTGCTTGGGTATAAAAGAAATAATTTTAATTTGTACAGCGGCACTACATTGCTGTAGCGGCGTGCAGCCACAATTGCAGTTACAGATGTCAAATCCACTGAGTACTGAGAAAACAAGTACTAGAATTTTGTCAGGAGGTGGCATGAAATTTGACGGAGGCGGCCACCTTCCAATTCTCTATGCAGGAAAAACCCTTTGTAAAACACTCTCTTACCTTCAGAGTTTTTGATTTAGATAGATTGTTGATTTAGATAGCTAATGTTAGCTAGTTTCTTACTTTAGCCTTACAGATAAGCCAGCTAATGTTAGCTAGTTTCTAACTTTTGCCATAAGGACAGTTTAGCTAACTAATGTTAGCTAGCTGATAGCACACAACTTAATTTCCGGTGTTAGCTTGTCATTTCATTACCAATAGGAAAATGTCATATGTGATCTAATGTTGCTGGTGCTCAGTCGTGAGCAGTGAGACAATGGAGGATTAGTTGTTGTAGAGATATGTTTTGACATCAGTAGAGTTTATTATTTCATGTTAATAGTCTTTGTGTGGCTGTGGTGGTTTACTGTTTTACCTTTTTGATATTAGGCACCTCCTTTGTTTTGACTCAGGAATTCAGGAGTTTTACCTGTTGGGTTATTGAACAAAATAAAATCTATCTGTGCTGAAGGCTCAATAATTGTATGGGCAGTGGTGGAAAGTAATTAAGTACATTAACTCTAAGAAGGCTATTGTGCTTAATTACAGTTTTGAGGTACTTGTACTTAAACGAGTATTTCTATTTTTTGCAACTTTATACTTCCACTACATTTATTTGACAGCTTAAGTTAAACAAGCAAGATTGTAACACTTAAGTTCGCTGAAACACTGTACTGCACTGGTTCCCTTTCACCCTGTAGAAAAAGTTTACACCCCTGATTATCATTTTATGATTCATACCCTGACCATACCTGCAATATGTGCACTCAGTAAAAAAAATGCCATTACACATGATTCAGTGGTTTAGAGAATTGATGTTAAACCCATATGAAGGACAGAATCAACAGGAGCATGCATAAATGAAAAAGCAGTGGTCTGAGGATTTACAACTGCTCATAGACACAATGAAACTCCAGTTTTCCCAAAAATTTACACATGACTGTGTTTAACTGTAACTGTAACTCCCCGAACTGATACTGAATGTTTCCTTCTTCCAGTAAATCCCACCTCATTGTGACTCTTTCACACAAACACTCATAGTGAGCTAAAAGCTGTTTTGCTTAACAAATGAGTCTTGCAAATGTTCCAATTTTGTTCTCCTGAACATTCATAGCAGCTCCCCATGAAATGCTGCTGAGGAGCATTGCATCACTTCCTGTATTGGATCATCTGTGGGGGAACAAAGCAGAAGTTGTTGCTTTTCTGCTACAGATCAGCATCATCCAACATCCCAACAAAAAGTAGAAGTCAGCTTGAAAAAATGAATTAAAAAATAAAATCTGTGTAAGATAGAAACTTCATTGCAAATTTACTTTTAGTTTCAAGATATATCAGCTGTTTGAGACAGTTAAATGCCCTCATTCCCAAAAAATGTAACCTTAAGAATCCACTGGCCCCATGATGTTTCACATTGCACCACCCTCAGGACAGATTTCACATCTTTAGCTAAGAATAGATGAATCCTCAGTGCGTCCAACACTGTACAACTGCGGCTGCAATGAACACGGAGACTGAGATCTAAGCCTCTGATTGGTGGAAAAAAAAGACGTCAGCAGTGTCACTGAGTGCAAGATTGAGTGCAAAAACACACAGCAAACTAAATGAATTTCTCTCACTCTGTCCAAAATAAAATTAGAATTTTGCAACACTGCATTTTAGGTTTTCAATAGTATTGTTGTAGTAGTGTTGGCCAAAAACTGGAAGCAAAGTAGTTTTAATTCAGCAAATAACCAAACTGTCAAATCTCACAGTCATGTATTTCTGGTAATTCGAATCCTGACATGGAGTCACATTATCAGTCAGAAACGATATTGCTGCTGAGAGTGTATGTGTGTTGGAAAGTAGTTTTACATACAAAAGAAACACTGAGATGCAGGAGAAGAATTTCGGTGTTATGAGGTCTTCTTACTGTGGGCCACAGCTGCGTCATGTAAAATATTGTGTTCTCAACATAAGGAGATCAGAGGACATGATATTCTAAGATATTAACTGTTTCCGGGACTTAGTGGTTTTCATAACTAGAGTCAGATCAGCACAACAAGCCTCAGTATTTAGAAGTGTTGTTCGTAGCCTGAACACTGGGTTGAACCTCTGTAATGATCAAATGGTGAAACAATCATCTGGCACCAGCCGAGGTCACATGATCCAGACTGGTTTGGGTCAGGACGGGGGCTAAAAATAATTGAATCAGGACAAGAGAACAAAAAACCACCCAGTGTCGTCCTCCTCCTCTGTCACTGCCAACTGTAAATGTCCTGTTATTATAAGAGTGGATGAAGGAGGAGTGAGGTGGAGCTTGTGTGTGTGTGTTGGACTGGGATGAATCAGAAGTAGGAGGGAAGTGTGTGGGATCAGCAGGACAAACAGGAGTGCAAGACGCGTTTTATTTGTGCACGTGCCCCAGTGTAAACAGACCGCTGCATGCTCAGTCCATGAACATGAAAGGCTCCTGTGGGGAGTTAACGGAGAAATTCAGCAGAGCAGGACACACGGAAATTGCTTTGTGACTCCTTTGTTGACATGTGAACGTAAAAGGGGTCATTGTGAGAACAAGACTAAGAGTCTAAGAACACGCTAAAGTAAAAATAACCAAACTGTTCTATAGATAAACCAAAGTTTTATTAGTGTGAATTCTTATTTGATAATGGCACTATAGTCAGAGCATCACCAGTGTTAATACAGTTCATCCTGAAGGGAGCATGGCTCAAACTAATTTTAACACAAGCCAATAGTGGTTGAGATATTTCACTGAAAAGTTGGACCTGGTGGTGGTCCAGAATGTCAGAGGAGCACCAAAGTCTTGAGAGTTTATCCTCTGGGGACCTCGGATCTCCGCAGCAAATTCAGTAAAAAAAATAAAATAAAATAAAGTCAACAAATTTCTCTCTGTTTCAAAAATGTGAATCTCATGGTGGCACTAAACAAAAAGCCACGTGATCACCAAAGTCAATAGGATTCATCCTCTGGAACATCTGGAATGTGCAGAATATATCAGACACGATGATGATGATTATGTTTTGTTTCCAGGTTATGGATAACCTCAACTCCACCCACTTCCCCACCAACCAATCAGACTTCAATAGCACCTTCACCGGCCAGGTGCTCCCTCCGCTCTATTTTGTGACCTGCATCGTGGGCATGTGCCTGAATGGTGTGGCAGCATGGATCTTCTTCAGAGTGCCGAGTGACTCAGGTCTCGTGGTCTACCTGAAGAACATGGTAGTGGCCGACCTCCTCATGCTGACCACTTTCCCCTTCAGGCTGGCGGCTCAGCTGGGTCTGGGCGGCTGGCGCATCCATGTCATCATTTGCCGCTACACCGCCGTGCTCTTCTACTCCTCCATGTACGTGGGGATCCTCTTCATGGGCCTCATCAGCCTCGAGCGCTACGTCAAGATCGTCCGACACACCTCCTCCTCCACCTGCAGGTCCAGGTTAGGCGGGGTGTCTGCGCTGCACCTCCTGCAGAGTGTCGGCTTCGCCCGGGTGCTGGCTTTCTTCACCTGGAGCCTGCTCCTCCTCTGCGTCCTGCCCAACGTCCTGCTGACCAGCCAGTTGGCTACTGAGGTGAACTCTCGGCACTGCATGGAGCTGAAGACACCTCTGGGTGTGCAGTGGCACCGGATATCTACCCTCTTCAGTGTGTCCCTGTTCTGGGTGACGTTGCTGGTCCTCGCCTTCTGCTACGCCTCCATTGCCCACAGGGTTTACCAGTCGTACCGCCGTGTGCGCCGCAATAGCAGCGAAGCCTGCCGCAAGTCCAACCGCAGCATCTTCAGCATCCTGGCGGTGTTCTTCATCTGCTTTGTGCCATATCACATCTGCCGCGTGCCGTACACGCTGAGCCAGATGCCAGACTCGGGCTTCAGCCAGGACACCCGGTTCCTGCTGTTCCAGCTAAAGGAGGGGACACTCTTCCTGTCGGCACTCAACGTCTGCCTCGACCCCGTCATCTACGTCCTGATGTGCCGGAACTTCAGAGAGTCGCTACTGAGGAAACTGTCAGGGAGGGAGAGGAGGAGGTCCTTGACCACCGCCCAGAGCCTGAGTAACATTTAGGAGGAGAGGAGATAAGGCAAGGACAGGAGACAAGAAGAGGACACAAGGAAAGGAAGCAAAGAGAGGAGGAGAGGAGAAGAGGAAACAAGAGAGCAGGGGATCAATCATTGACAAAACAGTCTAAACGGTTTGACAGCTTTCAACTGTCACCCAATCTACATCACCACATTGAATCAGTTGCCATGGAAATGCAGATGTTCAAACTGGTCTAAGAGGTTATTTGAGATTGTTTTGTCCACCAGACCTGAATCACACTGTGGTGTAGAATAAATTAACAAAAAAAGATAGAAAAAAGGAAATTGGTAATGAATGTACCATCTATGTCTGTTTCTCTTGAAGTAAATCATCAGATCTATATTTTGACTCACAGATTCCAAAGACAGTATAACATTTTGATTAAGTGTCAGGTCTCCATGAGTGAAACTGAATGTAATTTTAAGAAAGGTTAGTGCAGCAACAATGCAACAATTTACATGTACATGTAATAATGTGATACTCTGATAGCAATGTGTATAAATTCAGAATTATGTATATATAATGGTAATTATTGAAATGACAGTATACTATATATTATGAAATGAGATGTATATAAAATGTCTGATTCACATAGTTTCATTTTTGTTTTATTTATTATTAAAGAAAGAAAAGGAAAGGAATAGAAAAGACAGGAAAGGAGGAAGCCACATTGTGATTTTTGCTGTTATGGAAGTGAAACTGGACTCTGATGCGTGGGCATCAAACCTGTGGCACCAGACTCTGCTGTGGTGTCCAGTTCTCCTCCCGCATCACGTTACTGTGACTGATTCACTTTTCAGTAAATTCAGCTGATTTGGTGTTAGTGGCTCTGAGGTCACATGAGCTGCTCCTCTCTCTGGAGCTTCAGATGACTGTAATGTTTACACTTTTGAACTGAGGGTGTGTTTGGACTGAATATGTTCCTCCAACCACATAAAAACCTGAAAATCATGAATTATGTTAAAACTCATAGGATGTTCCAATGCCAGATTCAATTAGTGTGGATTCATCAAATAAAACATTTGTGCAGTGAAACAACACATGTTGTGTCTTTCCAGCCAGTGCAGAGTAAGCTGAAGTCAGACACTCCCCTTGAGAACATTTTATTTTTATTTTCTTTTAAAATATGTATATTTTGAATATCAATATACTATGTAAACAAGAAGTATGCTTAAGTGAACACATTTAAAAGGGCGAACCTTTTAAAGGGCCAGTTGGGCAATTGTTGGGCTTGGACAAAAGAGAGATGTGTTAAAAACATTATTTCAACTTCATTATCATTGATATTTAAATTGCTGACATAAAAATCCTGTTACATACAAAAGCAAGTGGATAATTTAAATGATGTAACATCACCACAGATGCTTAGCCTATGCTATTGAAGAATTAAAGCTAACAAGCTAGTGCTACAGCAAGCTAGTGATAATGTTATTATTGTAAACTCAGCTATTTAGCCTTTTTAAATGATGATAATACATTTTGTGGCATTACAAGGGGGCAGGTAGTAGAGGGACGCTACATCCCCATGCAGGAGCAGCTGCCACATCACAAAATGGCTGCCGTGACACACTCCAACTTCCAGAGTGCCTCACCGCTCAGACAGGTGCAGGTGCTTAAGCCACCTGATTGCACTGAAAAATATGTGGAGCAGAACAAAGAGGGCAGGGGGGACAGAGAGGACAAGGCTGGAAGGAGCAGGATTGAAGCCACACTGGAAAGGATTGTGAAAGGACCCATCTTTAAAGGAAAGTGGACACTTTATGTTGGACTTTATGTTGAAATCGCCCTCTCTGTTGGGACCTTTTAAGTTGAGTCACAGGCCTTGATTTTGAGTGGAAGAACGCACCTGAGTTACCTTTCTGTTAACCTGCTGGTTGGAAAATAAAAATTCCCCTTGTTTTCCAGTCCATTGCACTGCCTCACCCTAGCCTGCCCTAGTGACCTCTCAAGACATTACAGTTTCTTACAATTTATTAGCTATTATGTTATTGCGTTAGGTGATGGTGTACATATTTTCTCAGAAATCTAAAATTAGCAAGACTAGATTATTAAAATTCATTGATGTCCATGGGGGGCATCTTCCCTCAAAAATCCAACTCTTACACTTTCACATATTACAAGAAAAGTGTCAAACCAATGAGTCAAATTACCACAAAACCATTTCTTTGATTTTTCTCCCACCAGTAAAATAATTTTGATCCTATTCAAAGATTAGCAAGGAAACTACCATGCCAAGAAGAGAGCTGAAATGAAAATTAGCTCAATGTAGTTAGGAGGGGAATTAGAGGGGGTACTGAAAAAAAACAACCTATATGATTTACTTGATAAAAACCTTTGTAAGTATTTGCACAAGTACTTTTAAAGTAAATTTTACTGCTGCAATATCAAGTAAAACTAATTTGACTGTATCAAGTAAAATGTACCACTCAGCTAAATTTAACAACCATGAAGATATTAAGTAAATGTTACATATATTTATACCATAGTTATATGTTTATTTAAACTAATTAAGGTCTTATAAGTCTGTTAAATTTACTAAATACATTTTATATTTTTCTGTTTGGGGGGGGGGGGGGTCTTACTTCAGTTTAATCTACTTGTATAGTAGGTGTTGATATGAGGAGAAAATACTTCACTGTGTGCCTTGTTTTTGTTTTACTCACCATGGTGACTGTGTTTCTAAAATAAACCCAGACAGATATGCCTCCAGTTAATAGATATTTATTCACTTTTCTCTCCTGGTTTTATCTGCTCTGCTTTTAACTCCTTCATATTCACACTCACACACACATCACTTTTCATTATGTTCTTAAACTGGTGATGATGTTTGCTTCACTTCTAGATAAGGAATATACAGTGTTCACTGCTCTCTGGTGGTGACAGTATGTAACTACATCCCTGTCTCTATGTAGTTATGCTGACCTCTGGAGGTTATACAGACAATCTAGTTCCTGTGAAAAATTACAAAAATAACATTTAAAATTGTCTGATGTAGAGACACACTGTGAACACACGATTATAAATGCTGTGTCATGTCTTTCTTCACATAATCATGTGCGCACACTGTCCCCCTGTGTAATTATACATGAAAACACAATAAAAATATATAAAAATATTTAAATCACTAAAAAACTCTTTACTTTAAACTCTTTACTTATTATGAATGTGATCAACAGAAACGCTTGCATGTGTCTACACTGCCCCCTAGTGGTTAAGCTGTGTAACTATATAGAAATCAACTGTAAAGGCAAACACATCACACTATGGCCCAAACACAGTCTATTCCCTACACCCTCCCAGGGTCTCTTCATTAAGGGGAAGGTTATAAATGACAAGCTTTAGGATGCCCTAATCCTTTCTGTTACAGAAACAGGAAATTCACTTACCCAAAATATTTCTGACAGATATTGTCCATCCATCCATTTTCTACCGCTTATCCTCTAGTAGGGTCGCGGGGGGGCTGGAGCCTATCCCAGCATCCTTTCGGGCGAGAGGCGGGGTACACCCTGGACAGGTCGCCAGTCCATCGCAGGGCACACAGAGACAAACAACCATTCACTCTCACATTCATACCTATGGTCAATTTGGAGTAACCAATCAGCCTAGTCCCCATTTGCATGTCTTTGGACCTGACAGATATTGTAATTAACTAATTATATTTATCTAAAAGATAATCTTTTACACACCACTGACAGAGATGTAGGTGTGCGGGCAATGACATGGCACCCTTTACAATCATTCCATGAGCTTGTGAAATAAATAGAAAATCACTCCCATGATACTTTAGCTGCATTTCTGTTTTGTTGAATATTTTTTAGTCTGATTGGATCTTTGTGTTTTCCCCATAGTTTTTTTTTTAAATAATTCAACACAGGCATCAAGTCAAATAAAAATATATACCATTTTCTCAAGTAAGCAACAGCATGTTCGTTACAAATTACAATGTAACCTCTAATTTCATCATGTGTGTAGTAAATACTGTCTGTATGTCTGTTTGAGGTGAGATAACCTGTGACTTATCCTTTGGAAATGAGGGTAATTGGCAGGTTGTGTGTGTCTGTCTTTACACTTGGTAGTGTTCACTGTTATGAAAACATTTATAATCATGTTTGTACACTGCCATCTGATGGTCACAGCTTCTAATTGCATCTCTGTTTCTGTGTAGTTTTTTTTTTGGGGGGGGGTTATATTCAAATCATTTCTGTCATTCACTGAGAAGGTTATTCATGCTTTCATCTCATCACAGCTATTGCAACTCCCTATATACATGTTTCTCCCAAAAATCTCTTCATTTTGCATGTTGGCCTTTGGGGGAGCAGGATACCAAGGAGTCCATTACACATCTAGGTTTTATGGTTATATTGTTGTTTAGGAGTTTATCTACATCCCTGCAGAGATTTAGTGATGCACTCCCTTCCAGGAGGATGTAAGCAATAAAAGTGAAAAGGGAAAGGTCTTGAGGTTAACAGATGATAGTTACCATACTCAGATCAATTTAGGATATAAGCAGCTTTGTCATTCAGTGAGAGACTTGGTGTACCCAGCACCAGATCTGTCCTTTGTGCATGAATAAACCAGCCAAATTGAAGTGTTGACTTCAGTGTCTGATTTGTACACTTTTCCATCTCTCCACTGAAAAGATGATTTATCTTTTCAGTTGGCGTCACGAAACAACTGCGGAGTCGGCAAACAGGTGAGCAAAATTTTATTTCTTTATTGACTTACAAAGTTTTGCTCCTGGTTTTGCCCTCTCTGTGAAGAATGTGAATGTGATTTAAGGAAAAGATGCACAAAGAAGTATTTTATGAATTACAATTGGATTATGGAAACTAAATTGAATGAAATTTAATGAGTTACTAATGGGGAAACATTGTTGCATTTGCACCCAAACTAACCTGTGAATGTTGGTGTCATGTCTGTCAAGTTTCTGTTTTGATTTCGCACATTTCACATTATGTCTTTCCTGTTTTATTTTGAAATCACTAACCCTTTGTCTCTGTTCTACATTTACCTTCCTGCATGCCCTTCCCCTGTCCCGTCACACCTGTTTCCCATCTTCACTGATTACCTCTTGTATATTACCTTGTGTAGTCTCGTTGCCAGTTAGTTGCACTTCACGGTCCTCGTCCCAGCTCTTAGACATAGCCTGTTTTGTGTATGACCTTGTTTGCCTTTTCGACCTGTCTTTTTGCCTCTCGATTTCGTCTGACTGCCTGCCTGTGTACCGAAC